GTAGTTTCTTTAGTTGAATAGCTGTAGAAATATTTTATAATAAGAACGTGATTAATTACTTAAATCAAAAAACAACATGCAAAAAAACCAATTTTGGAATTTTTTGATTGTGTATTTTTATACGTAATAGATTTATATCTAGTTAAGGCGCACATCAAAAACCTGCATTATCTAACCTTAGATAGAAATTGAGCACTCAAAGATTTGTGACAATCAAACTACACATAACTTATAGGCTTTCTAAATATAATCTTGTGGGCGGGTAAGGCAAATAGAGTTAAAGGTATATTTTTTTATTATAATAAAGTTATTCAATTCCATGTGATCAATCAACCATTGAGAAAATTAATCCATATACTATTTGATTTTCTGGCTACGTCAAATTGTCAGCAATAACATGACTATCCTCTAATCATAAAAGAAAAAAATTTTTTTTGTAATAAACTACTAGGAAACAGTTTTAAGAAACTGTTGTAAGTCCGGAGCGAATAAATTATCGAATATAGTTACGCATCAAAAACGTAACTTTGTCACGCGTGCGGACAGACATCAAAAACGCAATTTTTGATGTACTTTACTCGTCCATTAAATGTCCTTCGCTACGCTCCGGACAATTATTACGGTTTGCATAATTTTGTGACCCCTTAAGGTTAATTTTTTTTTATGATTAAATGATTGTGATTGCCAAAGCCGGCCAACTTACATAAATCTGGGTTCGTGTCAAATTCAGATTTATGATAAGTTGGTTGGCTTTATCAATTACGATCGCAATCGCAATCATTTAATCATAGCGATAGTGGTTCACAAAATTATGCAAACCGCAATAAAACACGAACGTTACAAAAAAGAAAATTTTTCATATTGAAAATTATCAAAATGTATATACATATATGTTTGTTTTTGCTTTTATTGAATAGCGATAGATACAATTTTAAAAACAATGAATGACTAAACTTTTTTGCATTCTTGGTCAGTAAAATTTGACGTTAATCTATCACCAGGAGAAATTCTCCGCACATTTTTCCCGGCATCAGTTACATAAATACATTAGACTGATAAAATGATGTTCACCTATAGGGGGAAAGAACATGTGAAGTGTAATTATAGATGGAAGGTCAATTGCATTTCTTTAATCACATGTTGATATCGTGGGATTATGATGAGGCTGAAGATTCATTCAAGATTTGAATACCGCCAAAATAAATATCGATTATTAAATTATATATTGTACGCACGCGTTACTAATCGAGATTGTATTTAATGTGATACAACATAAAATTGCTGATTGGCGAATCATTGGGCGGAAAGACGCTGCTTATTTCTGCATTAAAAATCATCCGCTTCTCTCCGATTACTAATTCACAAATATTTGTATTTTTTTTAAAAAAAGAAAAATCATATCTGATAAATAGCACATCGTTGTGTATGACGAATGACAAATCATAATTTTTTTAACCATTTAAAATAAATTATAATATATACATAACACAGTACGTAATAAATATATATTTTCTCATTTTTTGAAAAAAAAAAAAAAATCTTAGAATTTGGGATTAAATCAAGAATGAAATTCGACGATAATTCGAAGGTCGAATTGAATTATTCGACCAGACCAAATTTCCATATTTTTTAAATAGTTAATTATACTTACTGGTATACCTACAGGTATATATATATTGCATATATTTTAATTTATATCTTCATACACTATAATATTAAAGTAAATGGTAAACAAATAAAATTGGCATAATCATAAGTTTATATAAGTTCAACAAAAAGTGGAAAGAGCACGTCAAAATGTTTTTATAAAGTGGAAATGTAAATAAATGCTTTTTAATCCTTTGTTAAAAAGGCAAATAACGGAGAATACATCTTATCCGCGAATTCGAACTGCAACACCTCCTAACGTATACACACACTTCTACGAACTCAAAACTATGATGCATGGTATGACGTGAATTTATGTAGAATTCAAAAATTCTATTCAACTATTTGTTAGACTGGCATACCGAAATAATTGTGGTGTTGCGTTGACCCACTTTGAAGTCCCACCAAAAAGTAAGTCTCATGAGGCTACTTCTTCAACTTTGACTTATAATCAAACAAAAATTTACTTGGTTTTGGTTTAGTCATAGGAAAACGAAAACCTAGTGCCTATGACTTTGATGAATCAATGGGTGAAAGCAAAAGCCCTCCAAGTTCACCTAGAATGGCTTCTCACTCTACACAAGAAATGGAAAAAGAATACTCATTGGTAAAGAGAACGAAGATGAGTAACGAGAAAGAATTTCCTCTAAGTAAACTTTTAGGTATTTTATTCATTTTAAAAAAAAATTATATATAATATATTTAATATTTAATATATATTTTTTTCAATATTCGAAAATACGATATTGCTAACTGCTTTTTTGGTTGGATTTAGCGACCCTTGATAAGCCACAACTGCTGTCACTGATAAATAATCTTATAGATACGCATCCCAACTT